TCAGCCTGCAGCTCTCTGGCCAGCAAGAGTCTCAATCCTGTATTTCCCTATCAGGTTGCCAGGACAAAAGTCCTTTGATCTCCTTCAAGCAATCATACATTAAAAAAATTCAAAACAGCACTCTTGACTTCTAGAACATAACTTTTCTCTGAGGTCTACACTTCTCTCTCCTTTCATTTCATAGCTGAAGAAAATACCACCGATCTCTACCTTCCTTCTGCTTAGCAGTTCAGCTACTCCAATTTTTATTCAGTGTACAGATCTGTGACCACATTATAAATAAGTATTTCTGAAATAAAACCAGACAAATATTTTGGACACATTAGATTTCAATGCAATTATCAAAACCAATGCAATAGCACTTACAAAGACCATTACTGAACTCCTGAAGAGAATAATTTTCTTCCATCTTACACTTGCAAGCTACAGTCTGCAAGTACATCCTTTTTTTTTTTTTTCCCAGTATTACATAAGAATACGACAAATAAGAAATGTATTAATCACAGCTGGGACTACAATTTTCTCTGACAGGAAGAACCCTATCCATATATTCCTTCTTACTTCAAGGAACCTCATAATGAAAAAATGTTTGGATACTGAAACACACATTTATATACAGAGTTGCACTTCCTGCTGAACACTTTCCTATATAAGTGAACTTTTAAGCTCAGATAAGTGAGTTTTCAGAAGTTATTCTGTGGAACAAAGATGCCATCCAGTGGTGATCCAGATTGATGATTAATGTCTATCTTTCCTTTTTTATCAGAGCACAGTATTTAACAATTTCATATTTCTTGGCATATATTACTACACCTGTCCTAATTCTACTGTTTCAGTAAATATTTCTGGTTTGTACTGAACTAAATTCTGAGTCTCATAGGATGAATCTAACATTCCAACAAGACAGCATGAGTTCTCAAACTCCCTCCAAACACAAACTGCATCTTATAATAATAATCCAAGAGTCCAGTTCTTCCTCCTATATTCAACCTCTTGTAAAAATCTTCCTTCTCCTTTTCCCTCATTATAAAGACTCATGCAACTGCCAAAAAAACATCTTATCTGAAAATAAGCAGGAAAACCCAAAGTATTTGTACAGTTATCTGTGAAAGGTTCCAAAGATTTTGTTTAAACTAAGACAAGTCATGATAAACACCTGGTGGCATTTTCTTTATGAAAAACCTTAACTGCATGATTGCAGTTTTCCTTTCTCATGCACTTTGTCAGGCTTGAGCCACTGCTGTCCCAAACTGCCACACTGAATTGATCCCCAATAAGCCAGAAGAATGCACAAAGCAATCAAGACAACATCAGACCATTCACTCCTCTCTCCTACAAGGGAATTGTGTGTCATTAGGACAAAGTCCCAACATCCCACAGATCCCATGGACCACACAATCAGAGATTAACAACAATACATGGCATATAAATGGTGACTAGAAATTACTGGAACAGCCACTGCTGTATTATATTTTATAATGGCATAGATTCCATTTACACATCAATTAGCATGTTTATTCTGACATTCATGGTATAACTGGAAATGTCTCCCTAATACTGCTTTGCCACACAATTCACTCTCTGTGCAGAATCTTCTCTCTGATAAGCAAAAGGGCTGACAGAACAGACCACATTTATGATCAGCATTTTTCTTTATTTTGAAATACATGGAAAAAAACACAATCCCCTTATAGCTTGAAATATTCATTTGAAAAAAACAAAAACCTCAAGGGCAAGGTTTTTTAACATACCATTTTGAGATGAAAACTTTGAAGTTATCCATTTAACAACCACATTAGTGTTCTACCACTTAAAGGGCGAGCTGCTTTGCTTATGTTGCTAAGTTTTTATTTTTAAAAATGAAAATAAAACACTAGACAAAAGATTTTTTTGGCTATGCAAAGGAGGTCTGATAAGAGATTTTTTATTTCCACATAGAGTCCACCTCAAAATGGAGTCAGACAGCAGAATAAAACACAGATACTAAGATCAGCTTCAAATGATCTCAGAACTGTCTCTGAAAACAAATCCCATCACACCGGCTGTATAAAACCTGACACTGCCAGGTTCCAGGTGAGATTTAACTCAGAAATTCCACTTCAGAAAGGGAAAGGTTTCTGTGAAAAGGAAGGAGCACCCAAACCGCAGCATCATCCCACACACCAAGGCACGGATCTGCTCCCTTCTGGCCCTGCAGAGTTAGGAAGGGCTGGGATCACACAAGAGGACAAAGAGCCACCTCCATCCTTGGAGGAGCACAGAGCACACAGGGACCAGGCCCTGATCCAAAGCCGGACCTCCCAACTGAAGAGATTCCATTTCAGCATCAGAACAAATGGTTCCACTGCTTCCCTGCAATGGGCACCACCTGAACCAAGGTGAGAATCCCTCGGGAGGCTGCAGGAGCTGCTGCCACTGAACTCTGAGGGAGCAGCTGGGGGCACTCACAGAGCTCCCTGGCACCCTTCAGAGGCATTTTTGCTTCTCTCAGCACCAGAAACCTCAAGCTGGCCTGTTATGATACAAACCCAAATCTAGACCTCTGCTTGTAAAACAAACAGAAGTATTACCAAGAAGGAAACCCAAATTTCTGTCCTTAGGTATTAACAGAGTTGAAAAGTCAACTTACTGGGGTTGTATGGAATTCTCTCTGAAAAATACAGTGATAATAAATTTAATACCAAAAAAGTGACCTAAAATTTCACAAGCACAACTTCACCTTGCAGAACTCTGGGGTTGAGAACTCTGCATCACAGAACAGCTACTGTAACAAACAGTGAATTCATGTGAGCAGTCTCACAGTTCATAATAAATGCTGCCCTTAAAGGCACGGCTGCAATCTGCAAATTTCTTAATTGCTAGATCTTTAATGTAATTCCATCTTGTATCTGCTACAGTTCAGAATAGAAAAAAGGAAAAAAAAAACCAAAGAACAATGAAGTTCAAATTTCTGTTTCTAGTGACCAACACTTCGCTCCCAAAAGTGAAAAGTTCAAATAAGTTATTTTAAAGAAAGCAGAATGTAAAATAATGAAACAAATATGCAATAATAAAACACTAAGGGCAAAATAAATTTATACATAACACAACTATTTTTCAAAATTCTTGCTTTGCTTTAGATGCCAGTTTGCCTTCTGGCTAAAAACACATTCTTCACACACGCTGGGAATGTTGAGGAAAACTAGTCAGCATTCAGAGGATTAATACAGATTTCCAGCTCTGTGCCTTTAGGCTTAATAGTCAGACATCTATTTGTCCTCAGGAGAGGTTAGGGGTTGAAATGCAAATATGCAAACAACTGAATTCTTTGTAAAGATATCAGGAAAAAGCTTGATCTTTGCTGCTGTTTAATAAATCCTTGCAATTTTATGGACTTATTTAAATGCAGTTTTGTGTCTTACTATTTTGAAGGAGAAAACAATGTAAGGAAACAAACACATTCATTCTGACTAAAATTTGTTCTCTAGAGGAAAAATGACATACACCCTTGACAGCTTATTTACCAAACTCACTAAAGATTTATTGATTTATCAATCAGTGCCTTGAGCATTTGCTTCTCCCCAAGGGAAAATTAACAATTCCAGCTAACCTAATATATTCTATGTATAAACTAAGTGAATGCAAGAATCAATCCTGGCACAGTTTACAACATCCAGCTAAAAAAATGCTGTCCCTTTTGGTGTATGTAAAATTGAAAGCAATACTAACGAAGAATAAATGCTCATGTTGCTTACAAACATAAAAAATACTTATTAAGACAGTACAATTGAACCCAACAGACATTTTAATTCATTTAAATACTCAGTGGGAGGCAAAAGCATTGGAAAATAAAAAATTGAATGATTTTGCTTCCAGATTAATACTAAGTACTACCACTATTAGTTACAATACTGACATGCCTCAAAGCGGAGATATTTCAAAGAGCTACAAATTCTCTTTTATTTCACCTGCAAAAGCATAAGCCTGAAAATTAATTAGTGATTTGATGATGTCAGAGCAACATAAGAACCCCAGAAGATGAAAATTAAAACCTAGGAATATTTTGTCATTCAATGAAGAAAGAAAATATTTTAACACAACTAAAATGATGTTAGCGAGAGCAAAATTCAGTAGACATCAGATTTGCTTTTCGCTGCCAAAAGTAAAAATATCCCAAATATATATAAATAGAAGGCTGGAGTGTGGCAGAGCTGCTCAGTGCATCCCTGGTACTGTGCTGAACCTTTTTGCAGCTCCTGATTCCTACAGGGCCCCATGAGCTGGGGAAGCACAGGAGCTCAGACACAGCCCATTGTTCCCTCTAAAGCCAGGAGCAGCAATTCCCTGCTCAGGGATCCCCCCTGGCCCCAGGAGTGTCCCTGCTCCACACAGCCCTCACACCCAGCCCCTTCCCAGCCACACACATTCCACAGGAGCAGCAGAACCCAATGCAAAACACCAACCACAGATTCTTTTAGATCCTCCTGCACGTAAATCCATTCAGCTCAAGTTTTATTATAATCCACAGAATTTATGTTTTTGTGAAATGGTAAAATGTGCATTCAGAGAAAAATCCTCAAGATATGTAATGATCCTCTTTCTTCTTTAAAAATAGAATTAAGTATGAAAATTGCCATCCAATCCCAGGAAAAAAAGACAGGAATTATTGTAAAAGACTGCCCTCTGGTGTTACACCAATTCTAAATTCTGCTTTATACTTCAGATCCCCCCCAACCACCACGCTGCATTTTTTTATTATTATTTTTGCTTTTTTTACCTGAAAGAACCACCTCCAGGGTCATTCAGCTTGTTTTTCTGATTTGCAGAGACCTGAACACCAAAGCCCCCAGGACTTTTACTGGCTTGTATTGTTGGTGCCTTCCCTACTGTGCCTGAAAAACACCAAGCAATGTTATTATGAGCTGTCTTAGACAATTTACATCAAAGAACCTTCTGTCCAGGAACTAAATTTAACTGTCTGTAAATTGCAAACAAAGGAAGTTATTATTTTTAAAGACTATATGCTGAAGAAGAACAATTTAAAATACAAAATTTATATTAACATTACATTTTGTTCAATATTTATAGAACAGTGAAGATTCCAAAATCAAAACCCATTGGCCATGAACAGCTATAATATTTATAATGGCTATAAGTGTGTTTGCAATTGCCAGTAAACCACTTTTCTGGATAAATTGTGCAGAATAAAGAAGGCAAATTTGAAATGTTCTTAATAGAAATACAAAAAGTCAGAGTTACTCAAGGTATTAGCTATGCCTTTTACATTTTCTATATAATAATTGTCACTTATTGCAGTGAAAAACATATATTTCAGAATTGTAAATACTGCATGTATTTTAATGTGTTTTGCATTCTTATAAAAGAAAAAACACTATTACCAAATTTGACATACACCCCCCATAAAGGTTTCCTTTTGCTTTCTCATCTTCAAAACAATGACTCAAAAATAATTCATGTCTGCATCTAGACTTTACAAGTCTTGAGGTACAAGTAAAACAGGGCTTTCTAAGTGAGCCAAAGTGTGGTGGACATTCAGTAAATTAGAGAGAGCTAAATTCCTCCCTGCCATGGAACTTGGAGCAGGCCCTCCCTGAGTGCCCAAGCACATTTACCTGGCTTACACTGTGGGTTTCCTTACATCCCACCTGTGTTTTGGCACATCAAAATCACTCAATCTACTTGATTTAAAAGATCTCACCTCTCTCTTGTGTGTCAATCCATTTTATTGGGCATTACAGACTTTTGAGACCTGGAGAAGATGTGAAGGCTGTTCCTGCACCCCAGGGACTCGGTTGCACATAAATGGCATGGTAAGGACCTCAGCACAGTTACAGGATTTTTATTTCATGAATAGTAAAAATCTGAAACACAACTATCCTAATAAATCCTTTTAAGAACATTTCTTGGCTAACACAAAGCTGCTAGCTTTGACTGAGTCCTGCATCACTTTTTTTTTTGTAATTTTGAAGTCTTCACCAACTCCAACATATGATCTTAAAGAGAAAATAATTTCATAGTGTTTGTTAAGCTCTCCATCTGTATAAATAAACTGTAATGTGGACTCTCAACATTAGCAAATACAAAACCAGATTTAGGAGTTCAGGCTCAAGCCTGGGGAATAAAAATATTTTGTCATCAGAACATTCAAGGTCCATGAGATGTCACAGACAGCATTAGTTCACAGACCAGGCAATTCATTTATCTATTTCAGATGAACTAATGGAATGGGTTTGTACTCAGAGAACTGGAAGGAAGGAAAGAAAAAATACTATAATAAAAAATGAGCAGATTTCTGCTTTGTACAATTAAGATCTAGAAGATTAAAAATGTGTTAACCTTGAACATTATTGCAATGGCAAATTTAAAGTAACAATAGCATTCCTTCAGAATTAATATACTTCTTTGGAATCAATGCTTTGTTTTGTACTTTTGATCAAAAAATACCCCCAAAACATGTATATCCATATGAATATAGAAGAATTAAGTCTCACATTCACCCCATGTAATTCCACTCAATGGATCAGGCAAAGTGAATGTAAGAATTGGGATGACATTTGAGTTTTCTGGTTTAAATAAATTACAACTGTGCATGACTAAGGGTTAGACATAAAATATGACTAAAACATCCATTTTTATTATGGGCAGAACATAGTTGAAAATTAAAATCACCTGTGGGCCTAGACATTTCATGGGATTGGTAATGACATACAGAGTCTTTCACCACTGCATCCTTGCTTCAAATTTTAATTAGCAAATCTAGAAAAATAAGCCCAAATTTAGGAGCTTATAAATTCCTAGCTGTATTTCAGCACTGGTTAAATAGCTGCAACAAATATTCTAGTTAATTATTTTATTATTTGGCTCAATTCCTCTATCCAATCCCTAAGATGGAATTCACTTAATTATTATCCTGGTAATGTTTTGGTAAAGGAGTGTGAATTTTTCATGCACTAACAATGGTGTTACTTCCAGTGGTGTGGAAGTAATTTTATTTATATAAAGGTCCTTAAAGCATGCCAGTTTTATCTCAACTACTGCTTTAAGAAGCATTACAGTCTGTTCACATGGATGTACTGCAGATACACTACACTTGGAGATTCACTCCTGTCAAGGAGGAAAATGTAGCACTGTGTGGAGGTCAGCTCAGCTCTGAGGTAACTATCCTCCACAAAATTATGCTACCACAATTTTTATTGAGTGAGGTCCTATTCCAGTATATTGGCTCCTTCTGCAGGAATACCTGGCTCAGTATAAAATATCATTACACAGTTTACAGTAAAAGGTTTTAACAATATATCACAATGATGTACTCTTGGCAGTGCTGCTAGCACACAAGCAGCCTGCTCCCTGGGCTGCAGGATGAGTGGTTTTATACTGGGATGTTTTCTAAATGCCTATTCTTGTTTGTTTTGTCTGTGTAAATAATAAAAACCATATACTGGAGGGCTTAACCAAACCTGTGAATTTGAGTAAGCTCACCAGAAAGTGGGACCTTGCATAAATTGGCTTTTATAAAACCATCTGCCATAAGACAAAGTGCCAGTTAGGTTGCATTGCACTGGCTGATCAAGGGCTATCTAGAATAAACTCATATTCTGAACCTGCTGTTTAAAAGACAGATGCCAGTATCATGCAGTGAAATTCTCAGTACACTGTTGACATTCACAACCTGGAGACTGAACAAGCAAAGAAATGAAATCTGCCTTCACTCTCAAACACATTAGTCAGAAGTGAAGGCTCATGCTACAAGATGCATGGACATGTTATAAACTCAGGACATGAGTATCAGTGCTATCAAACAAACACATTTTATGGTAACTGTATTCCTTCCTAACAGCCTACAGGGTTACAGTGACAGCTTGGTCTTTGTGTCCATTCAACCTTTGGATTCCCCTAGGAGAGCAGAGCAAGTGAAACATCAACTGCTGTTAAACATTTTTGATGCTTTTTTTCCCAAGGAGAATAGAAACAACCAAGCAATGAAGTCAAGAAGGCAGCAATAGCTTTTATGTGCATTTGAACTAGTCTGAGTCCTGATTCAGCACCTGAAGATGACAAGCTCTGTATTCCATTAGAAACCCTCAATCTGTAAATGCCCACATCCAGAAAGAAACTCTCACATGTATTCAGGAAAAATCAAACCCAAGCCTAAGGGATTCAGGGCTAGAAAGGAACAAATGGGTATTTATTAGGAAGCAAGGAGGCTTCAAGAATCCTCTTAGTAAGTGGGAAGTGTCAGTCAGACACGAACCCACCTGTGCACACAGATGAGGAAGGTGTGCACAAACCACATGCTGTGGCTCATCATGGCATGTCAGGTTGCTGCAGCCAATCTCTGACCCCACCAAAAACTAAACATACTGACAGGGGTCAGAGAAAACCAACCTGAGGTTGAGAAATTTCTCTAGGGCTCCCACCTTGACCTCTGAGCTGCAGAGATGGGAATTACCATGTTCTGCTTCAGGACTATGAATGAGAAGTAGGATGATTAAATTGAGGCATCACCTAGGCTTCAGGAAAACGAAGAATTTTTTTTTTGGCCCAGAGTTGCAGTTTAGGACAGTGAGAGCCAAGTTCCTGACCTGGTTTAGAACTTTCAATGAAAAACTGCTAAGTGAGGAGCTAAACATCAGAGTTTAGTCCTAAGGTTGTTTCAAAACATTTCACTGTGTTGGCCCAAAACACCTTGAAACTGCACATGAAAACATGCACTTTTCAGCCAGCTTAAGTAAAAATAAATGTCAACAATGTTGCCAATGTCAACACTGTACATTTTTCCATGCTACTCGTTTGTAATGACAACAAAATTCATACAAAGGTAACAATCTCACTAAAACATTGAAACCCATACCTTGTGGTCTAATGGTCTGAGTTATTACCACTGGCATCCTAATCTGGGTAGTCTGGCAAGCAGGGGCTCGTTTCACAGTTTGAGCAGATGTTGACTGGATAATCTGCTATTATTAAAGAAAAGTATACTTGTATTATACTCCTTATACACAAACACACACAAGGAAAATGATACCTGTCATCACCAAGATAAGCACATGGATCTCTACAAGCACAACCAGCTGCTGACAAAAGTCACATTCGTGTAAAGCATGTGGTTGTGTGTGTGTGTATATACCTATTTTGCCATTATGCTTTAAAAAAATTCAATAATATACAGATGTCATACCTCACAACCTTCACTAAAAATATACTGTAAACTTGTAAGGTTAATATTAATAATTCAGATTTTTGTTTTAAGACATTTCACTAGGAAGAAAAGCAGTTTTGTAGAAGAAAATGCTGCAATAATTGTATTGATATCCACCTACAAACATCAGGCCTTGCACTAAATATCTACACTTTTTAAAGAAAACATACTAAAAATAAATTATAAAATATTATGGGTTCCAAAGTCAGATATACATAAGATAGCAAACCAAGTTCTGTGGTGATCATATACTATGAATCTTTTAAATGTTAATTTGATATTCTCAAGGTTTCACTTACTACTAATTCAGGTTCTGAAGTTCTTCCTTAAAACTAAGCCTGGGTTAGAAACGTAAAATTTGACTCATAAACAAATCAAATCAAAAAGAAAACACGTGCAAGGGTCATGTTTAATCAACAGCAACAGGACAAGAGTCATGAGGGATCTCTGATGAATTCTGGAGAAAAACCAAATTGGGCCATTCTGAAGTTACAAAACTGCATTTTGTACATCCTAAAATACAGAGAAAAGTTATAATAAACCTGTGGATGTAGAAGTATTAGCAATAATCACCCTGCAGAAAGAGAAAAGGGAAAAAAGATTAAGGATTCAGCTTCAACTATGGACACTGCAGGAAAATTGAGCATTTGTACTGAGCACAGAAATAGTGCAAATAGATAAAATTTACTTGGTCAGGACAGAGAGTGAACAGTCACATTCAGAGAGGAAAAAATAAAGCAGCTACCATGCTTAAAACCAGGAAAGAAACAGAGTTGATCAGTGAAAATAACAGAAAAAAAGCTGAACTGCATTTTGATGCACAGGAAACATGAACAAGTGTGGTTTTGGTAAAAAGACAGAATAGTTCATGTTAAGAAAACATACATTGGTAGGGAAAAGGAGAATTATGCCACTTTTACAATAATTTATTGGATCAGTTTGTAGAGAATAGTGAAGAAAAGCTGCTGCGCCTTAATGGACCAGAAGCCAGGCCACAAAGGGGATGTGTGGGACCTCTGGACAGAATTACTATTTGGCATTACAGAAATCTTCTGCAAGTGCATTTTTTTTTTCTCTCTCTGAGGCAACTTCTACAGTTCAGAACCAAGCTCTTTTTCTCTCAATTAATATTTTCATGTGAATACCCTACAAACTGAGCCACTGACACCACTAAAAACAGGACAATATTTAACTATTTAAGATGACATAAATGGCAATGTTTTCTTTACTATCCAATACATTCCACAAACTGTCTTTTGGCAAGTACTGTACTAGGACTTCAGTGTATGTGCAAACACTGAAAGTGCAGAAAATTATTGAGAAACAAACTTTTCTGAGGGGCAGAGACCAAAATCATCATCTTAAACTCCATAAAGAAACCAGCCAGCAACAGGCTGGTTTCTCTCAAAACTCTCTCAAAAGAACAACTGCACCAGAGCACCTGACACTAAATCCCAGCTTCTATACTGGAGTTTTAGGAAACATGCAATCTCCAGATCTGGAGGTCATTAAGGAATTAAAATTAGCAATTTACTAATTGTAAAGCAGAGAATGTAATTTCTTTGCTGGCAAACTAGGGACACAGTAAAAATCAATGAATCAGAGGATCCTGCATTAAAATTTGTAACTACCTAAGCCACACTTCATCAATTAAGATAATTCAAACTGTTCTAATCTTCTTGTCTGTTTTCCCAAATTACTATTAAGTCCTTAGCTTGACCTCAGAGTTGTAAACAATGAACAAGTGTACCAGCAAGCTGGTCTGGGAGATGATTAACTGAAATGATTTTATACCTCTCACAGACTAAAACCAGGCACAACAGGTGTAGCCCAGGTCAGGTTCTCTCTCCATACTCTGAATCAAAGCTGGATGCCACAGATCAGTGAAAGCACTGACCAGACTGAGAGAGCAGACACAGATTTCAGGACACAGAGGTTAGCAGGGACATTATTCCTGCCCTCAGAAAAGATCTCAGTGCTGCTGGAAGCACCTTTGGGAAGGTGAGGAGAGGACAGAGCCAGACTGCCCCAGATGTGCAGAGCAGAAGGATGCAGCACTAAAGATACATGCTGGAATACAGGAGATTCCAATATAATAGAAGAAAAAAAAATGACCATGAGGGTGGGCAAGCTCTGAACAGGCTGCCCCAAGAGGGCTGTGCAATTTCTTCTCGAGGGCACTCAAACCATGACTGGCCACAAGGGTCACATCCCAGTGTGTGAGCAGGAGGCTGCACAAGCCACCTCCAGGAGTCTTTTCAAACCTTTCACACTGTGCCCATAAACACAACATCCCTGATTTTATTATAGTGCTGACTCACAAAAGGTAAAGAGACAGAATACAAAAGTCTTCAGAGCATACAGGAACTGTCCATCATTCCACCTCCCCTAGAAAGGGAAGCATTTTAATTATGTACACCTCTGGAGACAGCAAGCACAACAACAGAAAACAAAGGCACAGAAAATACATAAGACAGAATGTGATTTAGTCATTGCCTGGATTTGATAGAATTAGGAAAATGGTAAAATTATGAGCAAGTACTCTCATATACTAGTTATTCCTCTTCAATTTGTCTGTCAAAGTTGAAGAATCATGTCCTAGGCTGCTGCACTCTGGAGCTCTTCAAGGGAAACACCAAAGCAGCAAAGCAATGGCATTGCTTCTCCAAGTGCAATGTGTGAACAGTTAACTACATTTTTCTTCTAGAAAATGACATTTTTCTTGCAAACTAAGATGTACATTTCTCACAATAAAAAGTATTCTCCTTCTTTTTATTTCATCTTTGCTCTTCTCCCCTTGTCACTCTCTCCACTCACCACACTCACTTTGATTCACCATCTGTCTGCTGTGCCAGAGCAGCTCCTCCTCTCACCTCCAGAACACTGCAGACACTACTCTGCCCTTTGCTAAAGCTGACTGCATTTTCACAGGTGAAAAAAGGGATTTTTTCCATAAGGTAAGGTAGCAGGCTCATGAAGACCAAAAAGGATATACAGCAATCACACCACTGATAACCAGAACAGCAAAAAGGTGACAGCTGAAATATTCTTTTTTCCCCCTAAGGGTTTTCTTCAAAAAGCATAGATTTGGTAACTCTGTGAGAATAAAGGAATGGTTCTCTCTGCTCCTAATCTCCAAAGGTGATGATCATTCCATGACATCTTCTACTGTTTAAGTTATTGCAGGACAGAGAACAAATTACAGAGATGAACACAGAGCAATAATCAACAGCAAAGCCAACAAATACAGACTGAGAAAGAATCCAGCCAAAGCACATCAATGTACAGAAGCAGCAAGAGAACAGGAGTTATCAGTCTTTCTCATGCCTGCACAAGAGAGACAAAATTACATGAGAGCCACTACCTACCAACCACTGAAAGGAAAATTCCTTTAGGACAGTAAAATTAGAATTCATTGCTAAAGTTTCTGAGGACAAGGATTTTGCAAATCTCCTGGACCAGGGCAGATGCACAAGGTTCCAACCTTTATTGACAAGGGCTGAAAACCAGCCTGGCTCAATTCACAGCAATCACCCTCTGCAGCAAAAGCATCTGAACCAAAAGCTTAAACCTATCAAGTACTGCAATAAAGACAAAAACACAGTAAACAACAGCAAAGAATGAAAAACAAAAATAGATTTGAAAAATATATCCTTTACCAAGCTTTTTTTTTCTCAATTACGTTAAAAAAAATAATGTGGAAGGAAGAAACAAGACATGCATAAACACATAAAACTCAGAATGGCTGTGGTCTGATATGACATTTATCTTCACTCATGAGTAAACACTTGCTAACTCACTTGTGGCTATGCCACTTGTGATTTATCAGTCTACTCACTCCTGAAGATAAATGTCATATCAAACCTCAGCTATCATGTAATCTGGCAGCATTAACTTACAATGTTCATGCTTTTATGGGCCTAGAATTCATATTTACCATTGCTTATCATGCTGCAGTAGCAGCTACAGTTTTTCAATGGTGCCTCAAAATCTACATAAGAAATTATTTTTCCTCCCAAATAAAAAAAAATTGACCATTTTAATGTTAGTATGACAACAACACTATTCCATTGAGTACAGGCTCTCAACAAAGAAATGAAGAACAATGAAACAGAAGCCATGACATCACTTGTCCCACCTGCTCCTCAATTTATTATACAATTCTTCCTACAATGGTCAAATGGTTACTTTTGAGTGGGTTCAATTATGGCTTTTTCATCACTGTCCCCAGCAGCCTGATCTACCACCTAATATTCTCTCTTACTTTAAGGATATTTTGCCTTATATCCTACCTAAATCCTACTTCATTTAATTATATCCTGTTATTCATATTTTTACCATCTTGGTCTGTTCCAAATAAGGAATTTTCCCTTTTATTCTCCCTTACAATCAGTGTTTGAACAAGTTCTGTGTGTTCAATTCTCTTAAGCTTTTCTTTTAATCTTTGCTTTCAAGCCTGGTCTTTTGCTATTGGTTTCCAAACAGCAATCAGTGACAATATTCTCCTAATATTAATGTACAGCCCACAAAATTCTGAAAATCAAGTCCATGATAACTCAGAAAAGCACTAGGCTGTGTTTCAAATAGGCATGTAATTTGTCAAGTACAGGCTTTGTTCCTGATAATGGATCCCAGATATCTACTGCTCAACATCCATTTTTATTTCTATTTTACTGCACCCAAATTCCACATCAGTGGCTAGACCTTTATTAGTCAATTAATAGAAAATACTCTTTTTATCCAAACAGCCATCTATTACTCTTCCATTTCTAAGCTGCCTTGAAAACAAGACAGAAAGACAATGATTTCCTCAAATTTCACTAAAATGTGTACAAATTACAGTCATTCATGAACAGAAGAGTGATGCCAGAAAAGCTTCAGTGGAGAATTAAAAAGCTAAGTGGAACATCCCCATAGAATATAATTCTTACATAATGCTGCTGCATCTTGTTTCCAAATTCCATTACTCCATCTCAACTCTGAGAGACCCCAACCACTGTGAGAGTGCAGGGAAAGTGCCAAGAAATGTTTGAAATCTTGCTCTAATGTAACTGAGAATGTGGCAGAGCCTGCCCAGGGACACTGTGCCCTACCAGAGCAGCAGAAATGGGGCAGATGTATTCCATACATCCCTCCTAATCCTTGACCTGCATCAATCTTTATACAGCTTTGTATATAATTAAATTCGTTTTAATTAAGATGGATCACTGATTTTCTTACTGGGTGTTTTTATCACTCAAGTTTAATATTTGGGTTTAACTTCCAGGAGTATTTTCTCCTTATAATGCAGACAGTGCCAACACAACACAAAGTGCTCATCCATCTCCACTACCCATCAATCCACTTAGAACCTCAACAAGTGTAATAAAGAACATCTCTCTTACTCAATTTCAGAATTTACAAATTTTACCTGCTGCAATACCCGAAACAAGACAGGCAATGTCTGTATACACAGGGCAACACAGAGCACATGAGCTCTAAGAATGGCAATTTAGACAAACTTTGAACATTGTCCTTAGAGCAATTTTAAAAAATTATTGCTGGCTTATCTCACAAGTGTCTCATCAATAAAATATTAGCCTAAGATAGTGCTACTTCTACATAAAGAAAAGGGAACAATCTAGCTTTATAAAGCATTGCTCTTCATAGTTTGGAACACGATTCCAGCACTCTACAAAACAGTTTAAAAGTCTCTGTTAGCACTGTACATTTCAAAGCCTTTGTGCAAGCTCTGCTGCATGCTGGCAGTGCACACAGGATTTCCACACTGCAAGGTAACTGGAGAAAGCATCAGCACAGCTGGCACCTCTGAGAAACAGAGCAGACAAAGGAAGAACAGCTAACATGTTGCCCCTTCATATTTTAAGGGAAAATGGACTGCTGTAAACTGGCTGGTATGAAGAGATCCATAGTCTAAAAGAAGCTTGCCCTTCTGCAGCTGGACAGTTTGCAGAGCCAGCTGGAACCCTCTCCAATGAGCTCCAGGCCTGGAAAAGCTGGAGCTCAGCCAGTTCTTCCATCAGGGCTGGCTGCCCCCAGGCAAGGCAGCTGCAATCTTCCTGTGCTGGACAAGTCCGAGGCAAGATGGGCAGCAGCTCTGAGCCAGGGAGCACTGGGAACTGGGACAGGCACTGCAAACAAATCCATGCTCAGCAGCAATCACTGGGCTGAGAGGGAGCTGCTGCTGTGCTGTCTGCCTGGCACCTGAGCTGAGGGTTGCTGTGCTAAGATTTTCTGATGCACTAACTCTTGATGTCTGATGCTGCTTTTGTCTGTACAGAACTACTCTAAGTGCCTGGTTAAGTACTGCTTGATTCTATTAACTAAAGGCTGATAAATTTAAAGGAAATATAAAAAGACAGCTTCACACTAAAGCAAATAAATTAAGATTCTTAATGTCTTCTCCCTATTATATATATATTTATATATTATATCTTTTTCAGAAAAGAAATAGTATTAACCACAGCTTTGCTTTGTGCAGTTTGTGACCTTTTGAAAATGCAGAGGTCATTTCAAGTACCCAGTAAATGAGAATTCAACCTGTGACCTCCTCACAGACAGAAAACCAAGTTCTCTTCCCATCAGATCAATCTCCACAATGTTACCTGAGCAGCTTCCAGCTCCTCCTACAACCCAAGCATGTCAGAAAAGCTCCTCATGTTGTTAATCTCAACTCACAACATCACAACTGCTTGCTTAGGGTATCCATTGACATCAGAATGTGCCTCTCCCAGAAATCTGGCTTTATCCCAACCAGAACTCTAATCACAACAGTAAGAATTCCTGTGGTCTCATCCATTTCTGTCCTACACCAATGTTTCTCAAAAGGTGGGGTGAAACCTGCCCAGTGGGCACAGGAGCACTTCAGGTGGGCTGCACAGCACTGGAAAAAGCCATGTTACATGGCAGTAGATTGTGGCATGAGATAATGCCAGACTTACTGGCCATGGACACTTCTACCTCTAAGCAATCTGTCAGCTGCAGGCACAAATTTGCTTAATGTGGAGCAATTTTTCCACCTGTAATTATGACCAGCTGCTACTCTTCTGCCTAGAAGAACCAAAGCTATTGTCCACTCAGCCATCAAACATGGACTAATCAAAAAGATGCCACAAAAAGTGTGAGGGACACTTTTCTAATTAACACACCAATCCAGACACATCTCACAAAAAGAAAGAATGCAAGTGGCTGCACCTGCATTGAAGCAGCCAAGTTAAGGTGAAAAGCACCCAACTGTCTTGTGTGTATTACAAGGGCCAGAATCACAAATCTTACCACTCAAGATGTTCTTACACATTAAAACTATGCTTACTAAAGGACTATTAAATTATATTAATTTTACTTTAAAGTTAATAATTTAACCACTACAAAGTGTTTGTAAGGTTCAAGACACAGCACAGGTATTTTCAGACTGCTACTTTTAAATTAAAGCAAAAGAGATATTCTCTTTCCACACATATTACTAATTATATATTTGCTTTATAGAGCCTGTAAACTCAGGGACAGATCACATGTAAGGTTTTTGCATTTCTCCACCTCGATAGTATAAATTTTTTAAGTTTTACCAACTTGATACATGTTCTGGAACCTCTGTCTATGATTTTGAGACCTAAGTGAAGTACTTTACTCACACAGAAACCACAGACAAACTCACAAAGGACAGTGATGCCAGTATAAACTCCAGGCCTTGTAAAAACCCTAAACACCTTTTAATTACAAGTGCAAACACACACACAAGATGCTGTTTAACAACAGGATAAAGTCACCACACTCTCAGTGACTACCTGGCTGTGCCTTACTGATAGTGCCTCTGAAATTAATGGATCTAAGCACTTAATCCTCCACTGTGCACAACACAGATACAGCTCAGTGAGTAACAGAGAATGGCATTACTGCTAAACAGAATACCTGCAACAGCACAGCTATTCTTCTACAAGATTTTGTAACTATGTGCAGAAGAGTTTAAAATGAGAGAGTTCATTTCATTTTAAAGCAAAGCAGCATACCCAATGACATACTCAACATTATACTCTTGCCTGTTAATCTTGGAAAGCTTTCTGTTCTACATTTGTAATTCCTTCAAATTCCACTGTGCTCATACAACAACCACTCTACAGCAGACAAAAAGACCAAGAGTGCACTTCCTTCAATTTATGTTAATAATTTTAGCTGAAGTAATGGTTGAGCATGTGAAATGACAGAAAATGAGGTACTATCACATATCACAGAATACGACACAGACAAAAAAGAATTTCCCAAGCAAGCTACAATGAAAGTGACACTGAAAACTGCTGTAAGTTCATTAAGAAATCCTCTTTTACACTCCAGTACCTACCAGTTGAGAACTCTGATTTGACTGTACCACCTTAACCTGAGGAGGCTGCACTGTATTTGATACAGAGACTGTGCAAATGTTGTTTGGTTGCCTTATTCCTATTGTCTGAGTGGTGACAACAGAGGAGATTCCCGAGGCAGACTGAGGTATCACTGCAGAGAGCTTGGTCTGTTGGAGTGACTGCTGAGACGGCTGGCCTTGCAAAACCAAATGCTGACTGTTCAGTAAAGATTGTCTCAGTGCAGGTAGACTTTTCTAAAAACAGAAGAAAGTTTATGAAATATCAAACTTAGCACATCGACAAAAAGCATTTTGAAAATTGCTGGAAACATAATTAACTGCCTGTTCATCAAACAGAACTAAGACTGAACATTTATTGTAAGAGAAAGCTCAGTTTTTAATAAGCTTTCAGTTTGGATTTAGCAACCCTGTAGATTTTCATATTCCCTTAATTGCACTGTAGCATAAAGATCACTCTTCTTCTGAAGGCTATCTAGAACTTGTAGCTTAGGTCTTTGGGAGGGCAAGAAATGGAAGAAGAAAAGGTACAACCATGGAACAGCCCTATTCCCAGCAAGCTACACCAATTTACTCCTCCTAACACACCTCCAGTACCTACAACCAAATTATTTCCCTCTCAGTGCCTTACAGCATGGCTGTTTATTGCATTATTTCTGAAGTATTGTAAATGCATTAGAAAAGTGTACTATTGTAAGCCCCATGTTGATACCATTTCAAGGAAAACACACTTCTAAAATGCTGTACTGTACCTCCATGAACAAACTTTTTACTTCTTAAGTAGCAGAAGTGTTCTTTTGAAGTGCTCCCTCAGGCAGCTGCAGAATGCAACAGTGTTTAACCCAAGCTACAGCTCTTTCTAAACTTCTAACATTGATTTAAAAACTTAAAGCCTCTTGCCCAGAGAGGACTTCAAAGAAAGTCCTTTCTTTGAAAGCTCCTGCTTCTTATCATGATGCTAGAAGTGACTGCAGTAAAAGCCACAAACAAGTGTTAATGATAACTTGAAAAAACAGGAGCAGAAGTTGTGAAGCAAAGTTGCAGGGAGAGAAGAGAGAGAAAGTCTGCCCTAAGCAGAGAAGTTTTGAACTAGACCAAAAATATTTTAAAAATCATATTTGTAGTTTTGTTGGGACTTAAACATGCTTTTTATGTTTGTATATAATCCTGCATATGGAAGTTATGGTAGCTAATTTACAGAACCAATTAACAGTTAAATTTAGCCCCACATATACTAATGTAGGACCCCACAATAAATCCATTTGGTATCATATCAGAAATTCTACTGTTGATTAGTTCCAGATTAGAAGCAGAATCATCTAATTAACACTTTATCCAGTTCAGTTCGTCATAATTATTGGTACACGTGGATTGAAAGTTATCAGTGACAAAAAAATAAATTAGGAAAACAGTGTGGCAACAACTTATTAAATTTGAAGCATTCTCTAAATATAACTTGGGACTCTTTGAAATGTGAATTTTTTTTCTTCTTCACAAAAAATTACCTACTACCACAGAAAAGTGTATGTATTCTAGAAGTAAAGGATCAGTACAGAATAGCCAATGAATGGTTTCCAAACAAGAATGTAACTGCTTTTTATTTTTTAATCTAATTACTGCAACGTTCTAGATCAGGGCTGCTCAAGCTGTGAACTCCTGGATGACAAATCCATTTTTCTGGATCTCAGCCAAGGCCCCAAACACACAAGGTGTCCCTCCTGTGGGAATTCCCAGTTTCTGAGCACTGTCCCAGGCTGCTGGAGCAGTCCCTGCCTGGCCTGGCACAGGTGCAGCCAGCACAGAACCTCCAGCCAGGAAGATCCTGGCAGAAAAGGGCAGCATTCAGATGTAAAGGAAGGGCAGTCCCGGGCCAGTGAACATAACACTAGTTAAAAAGGATATTCTAAGAGTTCATGTAATGAAATTTTGCTCTGAAATAAATTTATCCAAACAATATTCACATTACCTTAAGGAAAGGTACGAGATATGGCTGAGGAGATGATTTGAGTTCTGTTTGAAGGCGGCCTGTAAATTCTTCTGGATCAATCTTTGCATCCTTCAGGGTGAAGAAAAAAACAAGCACCAACATCTCAGTTCAGGTGTTTGGTTTCCTCTTTCCCAACTACTACATAGACATACCTCTCTAGCTAAAGAGGCTGCCATACCAAAAACTTTCAGAGCTGAAGTCCTTTAACTCCTAAGATCATTCTGCCAAGCACTACCCAAACATGTAACATGCCACTGAAAATGCAGAGAATTCCCTTGGGGAAGCACAATTTCAGAAAAAACGAGGCCCCAGAAACGCTCAAGTCTCTTTTGGGACTCCACTCTCTTGCTAACATTTACATAGTGATTTATTTTTTTTAAATTAAAAGAAAACAACCACAACAGGTTGTTGATGTAACCTTAAAAATATGAAATTTGTCAGCCTTTGTAGTAATTCCAAAACCAGTTCTGATGGTACAATTTAACTTATAGAAAATATATATAAAACTATGGACTAAAGCTATAAACTAAATATAAAACTACTATATATGTAAGGCATGGCCATACACAAAAGGCATGCTTATAAGTAGATATAAAATTTTCTCCTCTATGAATTTGTATGTATGCTCACAAAGTCTACACTTATATCAAATACATTTATTTAGTAGCAATTCAAGAGAATTCTAACTTGGGTGCATTTTAGGAGACTTCTAAAGTAGCATTAGTTAGAAGTTCAGGTTGTAACAAAAAAATTAATTAGCCTTCCTGACTGATACAGAACAAGAGAAAACTCAAACCAAACCAAGCTTCAATAAATATATTTATTATTTATGTGTGTTGGTACTTCGTTTAAAATACTGTAAGTAGTTACCTTTATTTATTTAGTCTTTTCAAATTGGTAAAAATTAAAACAAGTTTTCACTGGAATCATTGAATATGATTGTTGAACAGCTCACACTTGAAAACGGCCTTAGGCTGGTGTAAAATATACAGATTTCTTTGGCAATGAATTCAAAGAAATGTATAGCAACTAGTTTTAAATCCAGGTTTTTCATAGACTATATTACATTTCTTTTAAGCAGCTTGACTCTTTCCCAGCTCTGTCTGCAGCCCATTTATACAATTCACTGTTTCACTGGAGGTTGCAGCCAGGGCACTCTAACACAGCTTTGCCTCTGGAAACCCCTGTGCCACCCAGGCTCCTGTCTGTAGAACAGCTGAAAATCAGGAAAATATTGCTCATTCAGTCCTAGAAACTCCAACCCATGTTGTGAAGGGATTGTATCTACAGTTGTTCTGTGATTCAAAAATTAAGAGCTTCTTGTTTCAGAGAAGAACAGGGTTTGGAGCAAAAAAAACAAATCCTCAAGGAAAAATCCCAGATTTTAGGGGGATTAGGAGGATCCCATATTTAGAATAACAAATCCTCAAGTTGAAATCAAAGTATTACTCATCAAAACAAAAGTGGCTTTGACACTGCCTACTAAATACTTTACTGCATTTCCCCTTTCAAAAACCCAAAGAAAGTCTGCCCTTAACAGAATTTTTAAATTTATATAACATACAGAACATTGCATTTTGATGAAGTCCAACCCCTTTCATTACAGCCAAAAGAACTGTTAAGATCAAAGCAATAGTTTTCAGCATCCATAAATAAGTTTAATAGAAAACTGACAAAATAAATGGTAACTAAATATTTACCAACAAATCTTGAACCAGAGCTTTCACATTGCGGGACGTTTCAGGAGATGGTGAATTATGAGAAGCAAGTTTTATAAGGGTAGCTAAAAAGTTTTTACATTTTTTCACATTCTCTTGCATTTCCTGCAAAAACCAAAGAAAACAAGTATTAGCTTCATGCTATTTTTTCATCACAATCAATGCATGCTCTGACCACTACAAATAAGGAAAATGATGAAACTTTTCTAATTCAGGCCATATGAGAAATATGTTTTGCTATTACTGCTTGTTACCTGAGATTTTCTTTTCTTTAGGTAACCAAACATTATAGCTCACAAATAACAACAAAAAATCAATGAAAGAAATATATTATATATTTTATATTTTACAGTCTGCTTTGGTAGAAATAACTTTAAATATGAGAAGACAACAATTTGCTGGAGATGAATTCCCCTTTGAGATGCCAAACAGAGAAGGTACAAATGTTCCCCAAGCTATCTTAATTTGTTAAATTATTGATTCAGCATGTTTTTGTACAAAGCAGCTACAGCAGTAAAATCAAATTAGAAAAAACTCTTCAAACATCATCCTATCTAATCTTTTTTTTTTTTTCATTAGTAGTAAAAGAAGCCATTATTTTATATGCTGTAATTGCAGCAAGAAACAGAAACATCACATTTTGGTGTAAGCACAGTTCTGAGGCCCAGCAAGAGGACAGTCCATAGACTGAAAGCCTGAGTGCTCTGGCTGCAGGAACAGAGCTGTTCTTTCCCCAGTGCCACAGACATGGCAGGTGGGGAGAGCTGAGCACAAGTGTTCTTCCTCCCTCTCAGCATTTCTATCCCATGTGGCTGAAACCAGGGAAGGGTTTTTGTCACAGACATCTTTTCATGAAAAATCCTTTGTTTAGGATTATTTCCTCCTAAGAAGCTGGGAGGCCTCAGGAACAAAATGTAAACAATGGTTATCTGCTGCTGTGGAATGCAACAGGGGGATCTGTGATTGGTGTCATGTGGTTGTTTCTAATTAATGGCCAATCACAGCCAGCTGGCTTGGACACAGGGCCCGAGCCACAAACCTTTGTTATCACTCTTTTCCTTTCTATTTTTAGCTAGCCTTCTGATGAAACCTTTTCTTCTATTCTTTTAGTATAGTTTTAATGTAATATATATGATAAAATAATAAATCAGCCTTCTGAAACATGGAGTCAGATCCTCATCTCTTCCCTCATCCTGGGACCCCTGTGAATACTGTGACAGGTTTTCCCATTTGCCAAGTATTTGTCCCATCAGGGGATACATGCTTGCCTGAAGAAAAAGCTCTTCCAGCTTTTGAACACACCCGAGGAGTTCCTAAAGCACCAAGAAAACAAAGTTTCCACCATTCCCCCATTTACCTGTGAGACCACGGTGGTGCCAGGCACAGGGGAGCTGGGGATGACCAGGGGCTGTGCTGGCACCTGCGCTGCCGTGGGAGGGGGCAGTGGCAGCCGTGGCTGCCCCGCCCCTGAGCCCTGGCTCTGGGCACTGCTGAGCACTGCAGGCTGCTGGGAGGCTGCAGCTCCACCTGCCACCGTCGTCTTGAACAGGTTGGGAGCGCTCGTCGTAGCTACTGTTACCTAAAAATATTTTATATTTCAAAAAAAATTAATCTTCACTTTCAAAAAAATACAAAAATCATAGAATGGTTTGAGTTGGAAAGGAACTTAAAGCTCATCCATTTCCACTACTCCATGTTGCTGCAAGCCCCCATCCCAACCTGAACTTGGGCACTGCCAGGGATCCTGGGGCACCCACAGCTGCTCTGAGCCTCCCACCCTCCCAGGGACAACTCCTCCATGAATGTCCCATCGTGCCCAGAGCCCCAGCAGGCTCTGAGCCTCCCACCCTCCCAGGAACAACTCCTCCATACATCCACCCTGAATGTCCCCTCATGCCCAGAGCCCCAGCACAGGCAGTGCCCCCAGCACGGGCAGTGTCTGTCCCCAGCACAGGCAGTGTCCCCAGCCTGGGCAATGTCTGTCCCCAGCACGGGCACAGTGTCCCCAGCACAGGCAGTGCCCCCCCAGCACGGGCACAGTGTTCCCCAGCATGGGCAACGTCTGTCCCCAGCACAAGCATAGTGTCCCCCAGCATGGGCAGCATGTCCCCCAACATGGGCAGTGTGTCCCCCAACACGGGTACAGTGTCCCCCAACACGGGTACAGTGTCCCCACCATGGGCAATGTCTGTCCCCAGCACATGCACAGTGTCCCCCAGCACGGGCAGTGCATCCCCAGCATCGGCAGTGAGTCCCCAGCAAGGGCACAGTGTCCCCCAGCACAGGGTCCCCCGGCACAGGGCACAGTGTCCCCAGCAAGGGCACAGTGTCCCCCAACACAGGCACAGTGTCCCC